AGGAGAGGGGGATGCCGCGAGCCGGGCGGCTGGAGCCGGCGTGCAGCCGGCCGGCGCCGGCAGCGGTAGTGCCAGATCCACCGGGGTCCCGCAAAGCGGCGTTGATGATGTTGTGGCTCTGCTCCCAGGTGCAGTTTTGGAGGGCGCCGGGGCAGCGTTTCTGCTGCAACGGGGTCTGCTCCGGCGTGGGCAGGACCCCCGAGTCCAGGTCGTGTTGGGTGACCTTCCCCAACTCCTTGGGCCAACCGTTGGGCATGAGCGGGGCCAGCAAGGCGCCGGGTTGCCCGCCGCGCGCCCGCCGCTCACCCAGCCGGCTGACGCTCACCACCGACTCGCTGTGCGCCAGGATGGTCTCCTTGTCCTTGCGGCGTGCCAGCTCCTTGCGGTCCCGGTGGCCGATGAACCAGCAGACGCTGAAGCCGGAGATGACGGCGCCGATGACAAAGGCGGCTACGGAGGAGATCACCAACAGGTTCACCGATACCAGCCCGTCCGGCTCGTCCACGAAGCTCTCCGTCACCAGCCCTGGGTGATGGCAGGGGGGACACGCAAGGGGACGGCCGAAGAGGAAGCCTGGCGGTGCCGCCGCCGTGTCCCCGAGCCCTGTCCCTGCCCCGCACTCACCCTCGCACTCGCCCAGGTGGGACGTGCTGCCGCCGGCGATGTCCTGCTCGAAGGCCACCCTGGGGGGGGTGTTACAAATTATGGGGGAGTCAGTCGGTCCCAAACAGCTTGGCAGAGGGCTCCCAGCTTGCTTCGGCAAGCGATGAGTTTGCTGGGCCTCAGCAGTATGGGGGTTGCAGGAGCCGATGCTCTCTGGGGAGCCCCTGAGACCCCGCTGTCATCCCCCCCCCAAGTCCCCCAGCGTTCACCCCCGGGGCCTGGCAGCCTTACCGGGGGCTGGGCTCCAGGAAGACGCAGGAGCCCTCGGGCGTCCAGCCGCAGTAGGGATCCCGGCTCACGAGGCAATTCCTGGCAGGGAGCAGAGACGTCAGGATCAGCCAGGACATGGGGGGGGGATGACACCTCAGCCCCCACGAGGCCCTGCACCATGCCGTGCCTCAGTTTCCCCTGGCTGTGCTCCCAGCCATGCTGAGCCCTTCCCAGCCGAATCGTGCCACAGGGCAAATTCCTGTGACGTGAAGGTAACCCCTCTCCGCTC